TCTGACTGAAGGAGGTTTTTGTACGACTCTTTATCACTGTGTGAATGTTTCATCACCCACACAACGATCATTGGAATTTATTCTGCAATGGAAACTCTACAGTAATAATGTCCAGCATCTTCAGTCTGGACTCCACTGATGCTCAGAGTGAAATCACTGTTAGATCCACTGCCACTGAATCTAGATGGAGTTCCTGACTCAAGGTATTTTGCACGATAAATCAGGAGTTTAGGAGCTTCTCCAGCTTTCTGTAAGTACCAGAATACACCTTCATCCCCATTATTCAATCTCCTCACATCTGTGCTGGTTTTACATTTGATATTGACAGTTCCTCCTGGTTGTTCTGCTGTTATTGAGGGACTCTGAGTGACGGTGATCTGTCCTCTACACTCTGAAACACACAACAAGAAAATACACTCAAAACTTTGACAATATACTCGAAGAAATGAATTAATATCAAACTTGTGCTCCACAAACCTTGAGCAAACGCTGTGAGAGTCCAGATGAAGATGATGATGAAGGTCATGTTGATGAAGATTGTTGTGTGTGTCAGTGATGAAGTGTTAAACTCACAGCACTATAAACACTCTCACACACTGAAGATCTGATCAATATGCAAACACACTCCACATCATTTCCCTGAAGACAGCAGAAACACTGTTTTGTCTTTTAGTGTCTGCTAATAAACAAGATCTTCTCGCACTAAACACAGTTTTAATGATCAGTTTCATTCAAATTTTGAGAGAATTTAAAACCTGCTGCAGATTTCTATCATCAATGATACTGTATTGAGATTTGAAATGAACAAAGACATTTGCTTTACTCTTTCACTGGGGGCCAGTAGTGCCACAGCGCCACCCTTAACCCCGCCCTAAACACGCCTTCCTGGATCAAACGTCACACAACCCATTTCAGTGAGTATTATGAATTTATTTATTGTTAAATTAGGAAGACAGCATGTATATTAACTTGGCATTGTCCTGCACCCGCAACTTTGAAGCGTTGTTCGCTGAATGCTTGGCTTAGCAAGTTCAGCAACAATGTATTTTTATAACATCCTCGTTTCTGCGCACGCCATCAAACTGACGTTGTACCCTTTCTTCTGCCCGAATGCTCAGAAGCGCTTTGGTATCTTCGACAAACCAGTACAGGCGATCCTCCATTTCGAGCAGTGATTATTTTGCACGATATTAAAAAAGTGAAATGGTCATCTTGCCGCAGACTTTCCCTAACACCGATAAACTCCGCCTTTTACCTTGACCACGCCTCTTGCCCGAGCCGGCCCGCTTTGGCCCAAGATATTCGACGGGCCAGAAATCCTGCCGTTGGCCGCGAGTAAGTCCCAATCAGGCCCCGGAAGAGACAGAGGGAACGCGGCTGGCCCTGGTACGCACTAGCGCGGCTCGACCCGGCAGTGGAAACGCGGCTAGTGACCGTTTGGATTTGAGGAGCTGATAGTGATCAAGGCCTGTAAGATGTGTGTATTTCGGGGGTGTGTGAATTGTCATTTGGAGGAGTTGTAATTATCTGATTGGTCAGCTTAAATGTCTCATATTTATGTTTTAGTCACATGGTCAGGGAAAGGATGAAAGAAGATTGTAACTGTGGCTATTTATGCTCTCGTCCCTCTGTCTCTCTCTCTTTACCTCCTCTTCTCTCTCTGGTAACATTTTACATATATATGCTGGGTACAAGTTATAATATAATAGAATATACACTATAGATATAAGATATAATCATCTCATTCATCTATGTTGTAACTATTTTAAGTTTAACCATAACTATGTTCTGTCATTAAACCTTTTCAATTACAAATAATTTGCTAACTAGTTTTGATTTGGTATTGACTTTTAAGTGCTATTGCCTATATAGTTATTTCAGATCCTCCTTTGAGCAGCTGCAGTTTCAGTTCAGTCACTGTGACTCTGGCTGACCGAGGTTTTTGTACGACTCTTTATCACTGTGTGAACACTACACTGTCGGTCACATGTACACTCTGACAGTAATAATGTCCAGCATCTTCAGTCTGGACTCCACTGATGCTCAGAGTGAAATCTGTTCCTCCTTCTTCTCCATTCCCACTGAATCGACTAAAACTGTTATCATAGAGTTCATCTACACCAGTAATGATGAGTTTAGGAGCTTCTCCGTGTTTCTGCTGATACCAAGCTAAACTCCAGCCATATATCCCAGCATCAGTTTTACACTCTATAGTGGCGTTTTGTCCTTCAGAAACAGTCACAACTTCAGGCTGAGTCACAGTGATTCCTCTGGACGCTGTTGACAACAACATTATATGAGTTTCATCAAATGAAATGAACATTAAAGACTCTTTGACGTCTGTTACCTGGAATAAAAGCTGTCAGAATCCAGATGAAGCGGCTGAAGAGATTCATGGTGTTTGATGGGTGTGTATCGTGATGGTAAACAGCAGTGTGTTAGAAAGTGTGTGAGTCTGAAGGCTATAAACACTCGGAGAGCTGAAACACGTGCCGATGCAAAGTGACTCTCTGAGCAAAAATCAGCTGGAGGAAAACACACATGAACATGAACATGCAGACCAAACTGATCCAGTTTATGCCTTTAATGTGTTTGATTCTCATCATCCAATGAGTGTGTTTTAGAAATCAGTTCTTCTTTATTCTGAGTGACAGAGTTTGAACACTAAAAGGAACGAGTATTTCACTGTGAACTCCATAAAAGGTCAAAGGTCATTCCAGAGGTCACAGGTCATCAAAACTTATTCAAATGCTTCGAGAAACACACGATCATTTAGAAACTCTTCAGATGTGTAAATATCAGTACAGAGTCTTTCTGATTATATTATATATTTAGATTTAATAGTTTTCATGCATTAAGAGACATTTAGAGACGATGAGTCTGTTTCTGTGAACGTCACTTCAGTTCAATAATCATGATGTTGAGTCTCATATCAGTGTGTGTGAGTGTCTCTGCTGGTGTGTGTGTTCGTTTGAGTGTGACGGAGGTTTTTGTACGACGCTTTCACTAGAATGAAACACTGTGGTGGACTTTCGGTGGAGGAACTAAACTGACGATCAGTAAGTCTCTTCAATTCTCTAAAAATGATTTATTTTTATGTATTTATTTTGTTTTTAGATTATCTTAGCAAGCATTTGGCAAGAAGATAAAAAAAATTAACTGCAATATTTCATGGTGAATTTGATTGTTTCCCAATTTCTTTAAATTAGTCTTTTAGAAAAAGATTATTATTGTCTTTTAGGTTTTAGATTATTTTAGCAAGCATTTGGCAACAAGATGAAAAAAAAAAAGAGTTTAAATAAAACAAAATTGAACTGCAATATTTCATGGCAAATTTGATTGTTTCACAATTTCTTTAAATTTGTCTTTTATTTTACAAAAAAAGTGTATATTCCGTGAGATTTCATCACATTTATCTTTTTTATATATTTCAAAGCATATTTCATATTGTTTTCATATTGTACATGAATATAAAACAAAAGTTTTATATGTTGATTGAAATATTATTCTAATGTTATATTGAATGTAGTTTGTAATATTGTTATATTTTGTGTCATATTCAGGTTTTTTAAAAGTACATAATTGTGTCCATAATTCTTGGTAAATTTAACTGCTAATTCTTTTTAAAATCCATGACACAAAAGTTTGATTATACGGATAAAATAATTATATTTTTAGGCGTGGCCATCAGACAAATAGAAAGATTTGAAAAATTCATTATTTGAACTGAAATTTGCTGATCATTATGATTGTGAGAGTCTGAAGAATTTTTCAAAATACAATTAATTATGAAATGATTATTCAGAAAATATCAAATTGCTGTAAGATTGCGTCTGCTTTACAGAACTGATTTATATTGAGAATTATATGATACATTTTTGAGTATTAGTGAGTATTGATTTAACTGGAAAATATTTTTAAACTGAATTCAGGATATTATATTTGTGGTTTATGAATGAAAGCAGTTATGTGGAATTTCTGTAAAGATAAAATGATTGTGATTTCTACTACATGATCGAGTTTGAACATCTATCTAACTGTGTGTGTGTGTGTGTGTGTGTGTGTGTGTGTGTGTGTGTGTGTGTGTGTTTCAGCCGGGCCCTCCGTGTCTCCCTCCGTGTCTCTGCTGGTCTCTGGAGACTCCTCCGCTCTGCTCTGCCTGCTCAGCTCTTACTCTCCACAGGGGGCGACGGTGAGCTGGATGCTGGACGGGTCAGAGGTCACCGAGGGGATTCAGACCAGCGCAGAGAGCGAGCGGGACGGTCTCTACAGTCGCAGCAGCGTCCTGAGCCTCAGCAAAGCACGCTGGGAAGGCGCAGGGCACTTGGTCTGCAGAGGAACACATGCCGGAGCTGCTCACGAGGCCCCGTTCCTCAAGAGCTCCGACTGCTGATGTTTCTCCAGTGAAGACCAGCGGATCTGAGCCGAGTCACGTGATTTACAGCTCAATACTGAAGCAGTCTGTCAATGTGCTGCCATTGCTGTTCATTCAATAAAGCTTCATCTGAACGCCTTACATGTGTGTGTGACTGCATCATTGATCAGTGTGTCGTTGCACTAAAGTTTCAGCCGCTTTTGATTGATTGTAATAGTTGAGAACAGCTGCATTCAGCAGGAAATGAAGTCAAATGAAGCTCTTGGGGTTTGAACATGGTCACTGGAGACGAGCTGCTCTATTCTGAGACGTCACAATCACTAAACCTGACAATGCAAATCACATTTTCAACTGAAACTCACAGTTTCTCTCTTTTACTGGTTCAGCCTCTGAACTGGAACAGTTTCACTTCTGCTGATGGACGGATGAGTTATGAATAATAATTTCATTAGTTTGAGATGGAGCTTGAAAAAAGGCTCAAGAACATATTTATGTAGCTGGTGTAACACAATTACTTTGTAGTTTAAAGTAAAAAAAAAAAAAAAAATTCTATCAGTTTACACACTCAGTTTTCTCTGATTCTGAGAATATTAGAGTCAAACTCATCTGTCACAGATCAGATCAGTCTAATCTATCTATAAATTGCAGGAACGTCTGTCTGTCTGTCTGTGTGTGTGTGTGTGTGTGTGTGTGTGTGTGTGTGTGTGTGTGTGTGTGTGTGTGTGTGTGTGTGTGTGTGTGTGTGTGTGTGTGTGTGTGTGTGTGTGTGTGTGTGTGTTGTGTGTGTGTGTGTGTGTGTGTGTGTGTGTGTGTGTGTGTGTGTGTGTGTGTGTGTGTGTGTGTGTGTGTGTGTGTGTGTGTGTGTGTGTGTGTGTGTGTGTGTGTGTGTGTTGTGTGTGTGTGTGTGTGTGTGTGTGTGTGTGTGTGTGTGTGTGTGTGTGTGTGTGTGTGTGTGTGTGTGTGTGTGTGTGTGTGTGTGTGTGTGTGTGTGTGTGTGTGTGTGTGTGTGTGTGTGTGTGACTGTTAATCGCACAGCTCTTGAACCGTTTGTCTGATCGATCTCAAACTTCACAAGTGTCTTGCTATGGGCACGAGTAAGTGCACTAATTTCAGTCATAAGTCATTTTGTGCACATGTGTAGTTCTTGTGTTTGTCCTGTGTGTGTGTATGTGTCATTCATTTAATAAATTCTTCAACTTATTAAACTGCTCATCATATGTTTAGATGCTGATGTTGCAGAAAAAAAATTAATTCAAATGCAGAAAATCAAAAATGTTTTGAATGAATTGAAAAATATCCACTGAAGTGAAAATCAAAAGTGACTGAATTTCTACATGAAGGATGTAATTGGAAACAGGAGATAAATGTTATTCCTGAAAAATCACAATCAAAAAGGTCAAAAACTGATGAATCTCAACAAAGTGATGTTCAATAAGATCATATTGAGTCGTTTGTTCACTATGTGTGTGTGTGTGTGTGTGTGTGTGTGTGTGTGTGTGTGTGTGTGTGTGTGTGTGTGTGTGTGTGTGTGTGTGTGTGTGTGCTGAGCAGCTGCAGTTTCAGTTCAGTCACTGTGACTCTGACTGACGGAGGTTTTTGTACGACTCTTTATCACTGTGTGAACACCCATTTACTGTTGATGTAGTGATAACTCTGACAGTAATAATGTCCAGCATCTTCAGTCTGGACTCCACTGATGCTCAGAGTGAAATCAGTCTTAGATCCACTGCCACTGAATCTAGATGGAGTTCCTGACTGACGGCGATTTGTGAGATAAATCAGGAGTTTAGGAGCTTCTCCAGGTTTCTGTAAGTACCAGGCTAAATAATCTCCATTACCATCCCTGTACACATCTCTGCTGGTTCTACATTTGATATTGACAGTTCCTCCTGGTTGTTCTGCTGTTATTGAGGGACTCTGAGTGACGGTGATCTGTCCTCTACACTCTGAAACACACAACAAGAAGAAAATCAGCAGAATAAATGAATGATCTTTGCTAAAACAAGTAAATGTAAAGTAGTAAATGCAGTGAAAGAGTGTCACCGTTGAGGATCAGCAGCAGAGAGCAGATGATCAGTGTGTGTGTCGTCATCTTTACTGGGAATGAGTGAAGCTGAAGGACAGAGATGTGGGATTGACAGTCTGACAGACGCTCTGATATTGAGCTTCAGTCACAGGGGTGGGACACACACATTCAAAGCCGTTTCCTCTCTAATGTGACAGAAGAGCAGAACTGACACACACCACAATTAAAACCTTCATTTCCCTCATCAAACACTCAATAATAGTTTGTTTCTCTGTGGACACTTCTGGTCTTTCACTGGATCAGGCCTTTTGCTCATATAAATAAACTTCAACGAAACCATTAAAACACCTCCAAAATATGATGAACCACACAGATATTATGATAGATAGATTGAAGATAAACATGCATGTCAGACACATCACTCATCTCTCATTGTGTGTAATGTTTTAGAGTTATTTAAAGTGTTTCAGTGTTATAGAAACGTCAAACTCTGAGGATGATGAACACAATCACTCCTGATTTCACTGTTTGACTGAAATTATACAGTTTTTGACTAAAATGAGGCTTGTTCATATTCTTTAGTTTACACTGTCAATTATTGTGAACACAAACAAAATCAGTTAAAAGTGTAGATTCAATTTGTATCTTGCTTTTAAAACTTAAACAGTAAGTTCAATAGAACACAAAATACAGCCATAAATAAATACATGTGTAATAAGTCCATAAATAAATGCATTTATATTTTACATTTTTAGACTTATGCATAAATAACTTTATTATAGGTAACCGCCTTATTGATCAATGCAGAAATACTGTTTTCTGTGAAACCAGTGTTTATAATTTAGACAATAGATTAAAATAATATGGTGAGAGTTTTCTTTCTTCGTTCAATTTCATGCTGCTGTTCATCACCGACACTAACAAATCAATGCATTTCATTGAAAATATCAACGCATCGTGCAGCATATGCTGTAAATAATAGAAAAATAAATATATAGAACATTTCTCAGGGATCGTCAATAAAACAAAATTCCATTTTCTCGGTCGTTTTGGCAGAGGCGATTGGGTGTAGAATAGGTCAACATCCGGGTATTTCTCCACTGGAACGTATTAACGCAAACGTGTAAGTTTCACGTGGGGGTTAAACCGTGACATCTACGCGTTTTCCAAAGTGGACCAACGTGATTATTTCACGTCTTGTCGTGAAACCGGCTTGAGCTGTCAGAGACGAGAATGTGTTGCTCTAAACAGGGTGAGTGTTAATCTAATGAAGTGTACTTGGGAAACCACGGTATAATTAGACAAAGTTACCATTAGAAGTAGTTCAGTTGGTCAGCTTAGTTCTGTGGTAATGGTCGTGGCCTCTGGTTAGATATAATCTTATGTTAATTAACTGTGTTCAGGTCTTTGAAGACAAATAACTGAATAAATTGATCAAACACGACATATTTAAGATTCAGTTTAGAAAGATTAATATTTGAAATCATAAATGCAGAAAATCTAGTGAGAAAATGTGGTGAGGATTGAAAAATATCCACTGAAGTAAAAAAAATCAAAAGTGACTGAATTTCTACATAAAGAATGTAATAGGAAACAGGAGACAAATAATGACTGAACAATGGCAATCAAAAAGGTTAAATGAGATCATATTGAGTTGTTTCTTCACCTTTGAGTGTGTGTGTGTGTGTGTGTGTGTGTGTGTGTGTGTGTGTGTGTGTGTGTGTGTGTGTGTGTTTGAGCAGCTGCAGTTTCAGTTCAGTCACTGTGACTCTGACTGATGGAGGTTTTTGTACGACTCTTTATCACTGTGTGAACACATCATTATAGTTGATGACATGATAACTCTGACAGTAATAATGTCCAGCATCTTCAGTCTGGACTCCACTGATGCTCAGAGTGAAATCACTGTTAGATCCACTGCTGCCACTGAATCTAGATGGAGTTCCTGACTGACGGCGGTTTGTGTAATAAATCAGGAGTTTAGGAGCTTCTCCAGGTTTCTGGAAGTACCAGTTAAGAAGGGGTTTTCCATCACCATAACAGCAGTTTGGATCTCTGCTAGTTTTACAGGTTATCGTGACTGATTGTCCAGGTTCAGAGAGCAGATTTGAGGGAGTTTGAGTCACTGTCACCTGACCAACAGATTCTGACAAGAGAGAAAGATTAGAAATCACAAACACTTTTACAGCCATTTATCTACACAACACACATAATAAATAATGTATATAATCTTGACGGACACAAACCTCGACATAATACTGTCAGCGTCCAGATCAATATGGTGATGAAAGTCATTTCTGTTGTTGAAGGTTCAGTTCTAGTGAAAAACAGTTGTTGATCATGTTTGTGTTTGACAGAGTTATAAACACACGCAGAGCACTGAAGTGTGTGTCGCTCATGTAAAACACACTCTCTATGCAAACACTTCAGTAGGAACAGATTTAACTCGGTTTAATGTTCTGTTTCATCGAGACTTCACGAAACATTTCACGAGTTCACACGTTAATACGATCCTTTATTGATATAGCATGAAATAGCTTTATTGATGAAGCAACATCAGACGAGCAAAAGCGTTTATTTTCTGAATATCAGACCAACAGCGAATCAGAAAGAGCACAATTTAAAATATCCAAACACAGAGATCGGCCACAGTAATAATCATTCAGATTTGGTCAATCAAGTCACACTGAAAAGTTGCAGACTTTCTACACAACATGTATCAAGAACACATAGGAAACTAAAAGAAAAAAGTTAACAATGATTGATAAGAAAGATAGAAAGCTATAAAACATGAGGATGAGATATTAATGTGTGTTGGTGATGTTAGTGTCACGCGTCTGTGGTGCAACTCTCCTCTCACGTAAAAATACACGACTGTCTCCTGCGGTAGGAAATCCAAGGCACTTTCCACACGCCATACCAGGAGAAAACACACACACACACACACACACACACACACACACACACACACACACACACACACACACACACGCGCAGTGTAACCAGAGTGGGCAAATCAGAGCAAAACTGGGCGTTGTGGAAATATGATACACTGGTGTTTTGCCAGATGAGAAGTTTATCTATGTATCATAATTTTACTCTTTTAATTTATTTAACTGTATCATATATCTCTTTTAATTCCTATTATAACTTGTTTTTATCTTGTGATTATTTTAACTCGTTCCGGTAAAGCACTTTTGCCATAGTGTATGAAATGTGAAATATAAATAAACTTACGCCTTAAACTGAACTGTTGATCAAGGGCTACAATTAATACAGCAAGATAATATAAAACTCTTACTGTCTGCAGAATATAGTGTGAATTCAGTGCATAATAAACACATGACGTGTTAGGATAATGAGTATTATGAAAATCAAGATCTATTATTAATAAAAGGCGGCAAATATGAAATCACTCAGATCTCAAATGTGTCCCTGATCTTCTATAAGAGCACAAAATCTCTTTCTGTCCTCTATAATTATTAATAGTGTCAGATTAATTTATATAGTTTTATTTCAGATCCTCCTTTGAGCAGCTGCAGTTTCAGTTCAGTCACTGTGACTCTGACTGACGGAGGTTTTTGTACGACTCTTTATCACTGTGTAAACACCCAGTTACTGTTGATGTAGTGACGACTCATACAGTAATAATGTCCAGCATCTTCAGTCTGGACTCCACTGATGCTCAGAGTGAAATCTGTTCCATAATTTGCTCCATTGCCAGTGAATCTAGATGGGGTTCCTGACTGTCGTGATCTAATGTCATAAATGAGGAGTTTAGGAGCTTCTCCAGGTTTCTGCAGATACCAGGAGAGACAGTCGCCACAATAACCCCGAGAACGATCTCCAATTCCTCTGTTAGTCTGACAGGTTATAGTGACCGTTCCTCCTTGAAGAGCTTCTTCTGAGGGAGTCTGAGTCACAGAAACCTGTCCTGTAATTTCTGTGAATGACATTTCATTAGATCATAAATATCAAAAGCATGAACATAAATCACATCTTGAGTTATTTATAGAGTAAATGAACCTTGAACAGAAAGAATGAGAGTCCAGATACAGACGCTGGTGATCATCGTTCTTCTTATCGGTGATTTACTTTCAGTCTGAATGAAGAAAAGCTGTCAGTGATGAAGTGTTAAACTCACAGCACTATAAACACTCTCACACACTGAAGATCTGATCAATATGCAAACACACTCCACATCATTTCCCTGAAGACAGCAGAAACACCGTCTTTATGTTTGTATAGATTTAGTTTATTTACTTGTTGCATTATTTTGGGCTGAGCTAAAAAAAAACTAAAAGAATAATGAGTGATTTGATGAAGTCTTAGACACTAGATGTGTGTGATAGTAATAGTTGAGAACAGCAGTGTGAGGACGGGGTCGAGAGGAACGCCTGTTGTTTGAGCGTCGGTAACTCAGTGGATGTTTGTGCTTTATCTCTCAAAGTTTGATTCGTGTTAGAATAGAAATATAACTCACTCGGACATGTACGACACAATCACAGATTATGAGTTATTGTCAAACACACAGAGTTCAGTTGTTCAAACTAACACACTGTTGTTGTCACACAGTCTGAGAGATAATTTGCTGAAATAAGATCCACACAATCTAAATGTGTGCAAGAATGTTATTGAAGAACAAAGAATAATCAGTTTTTACTAAAGTAATTAATTTAAAGTAATTTCTTTTAATGACTTTAAATTTAGCACAAAACAACATGTGTGTTGTGTTGTGTGTGTGTGTGTGTGTGTGTTTGATCATGTGTGTGTTCTCAATTCTTGTCACCAGTTCAGTCACTGGTGTAACACAATTACTGTACTGTGTAGTTTAATGTACAAAAAACCCCATAAATAACACGCCACTGTTGTTTGTTTGATTTCTATCCATTTACACACTCAGTTTTCTCTGATTGTGAGAATATTAGAGTCAAACTCGTCTGTCACAGATCAGATCAGTCTAATAGAGTTCATTTCAGTCAAGTCATTTTGTGCACATGTGTAGATCCTGTGTGTGTGTGTGTGTGTGTGTCATTCATTTAATAAATCCTTCGACTTATTAAACTGCTCAACATATATAAAGATGCTGATGGTGCAGTTTATAAAAAATAATATATTAAATGCTTAATCCAGAAAATGAATTGCATTGAAGAATATCCACTGAAGTGAAAATTGACTGAATTTCTACATGAAGGATGTAATAGGAAACAGGAGATAAATGTTATTCCTGAAAAATCACAATTAAATAGTCAAAAACTGATGAATCTCAACAAAGTGATGTTCAATAAGATCATATTGAGTCGTTTCTTCACTGAGTGTGTGTGTGTGTGTGTGTGTGTGTGTGTGTGTGTGTGTGTGTGTGTGTGTGTGTGTGTGTGTGTGTGTGTGTGTGTGTGTGTGTGTGTGTGTGTGTGTGTGTGTGTGTTTGAGCAGCTGCAGTTTCAGTTCAGTCACTGTGACTCTGACTGATGGAGGTTTTTGTACGACTCTTTATCACTGTGTGAACAAATAATTACCGTTGATGTAGTGATAACTCTGACAGTAATAATGTCCAGCATCTTCAGTCTGGACTCCACTGATGCTCAGAGTGAAATCACTGTTAGATCCACTGCCACTGAATCTAGATGGAGTTCCTGACTCGAGGGTTTTTACATAACGAATCAGGAGTTTATGAGCTTCTCCAGGTTTCTGTAAGTACCAGAATACACCTTCATCCCCATTATTCAATCTCCTCACATCTGTGCTGGTTTTACATTTGATATTGACAGTTCCTCCTGGTTGTTCTGCTGTTATTGAGGGACTCTGAGTGACGGTGATCTGTCCTCTACACTCTGAAACACACAACAAGAAAATACACTCAAAACTTTGACAATATACTTGAAGAAATGAATTAATATCAAACTTGTGCTCCACAAACCTTGAGCAAACGCTGTGAGAGTCCAGATGAAGATGATGATGAAGGTCATGTTGATGAAGATTGTTGTGTGTGTCAGTGATGAAGTGTTAAACTCACAGCACTATAAACACTCTCACACACTGAAGATCTGATCAATATGCAAACACACTCCACATCATTTCCCTGAAGACAGCAGAAACACTGTTTTGTCTTTTAGTGTCTTTGCTAATAAACTTCTGTTTATCATTTTCATAAACACACACTCATGATTTACTTCATGTTATTTTGGGTCGATCTTCTCGCTCTAAACACAGTTTTAATGATCAGTTTCATTCAGACTTTGATGCTGAGAGCATTTAATACCTGTGCTGTGTTTATATCATCCATGATACTGTAGAACAGGTCAAAGGTCATCCAATAGAGAATGACCATCTAAATCTGGCGGAACATTTCATTATAAAGCAGGACAATAGAATTGATAATGTGACGAATGTATTTTGGAGTGACTTGAGTCTGATATCTGTGTGTTTGTGTGTGTTGTTGGTCTCTTTCTCTGAGTGTGTGTTAATGTGAGTGTGACGGAGGTTTTTGTACGACGCTTTCACTAGAATGAAACACTGTGGTGGACTTTCGGTGGAGGAACTGAACTGACGATCAGAACCTGTGAGTCTTTCTTAAAATATTTTATAAAAATGTATGATGTGTGTGTTTTAAAAGGAAGTTTAATGTTATTTAACAGGATTCGCCAACAATAGTCTTAATTTATTACAAAAATATATTATTGAAATACTTTGCTTACATTTCAAATCTTATTTATTTTCACTATTTATTATATTTTACTGATTGCACACATTTATGCATTTAATTCTTTAATTTTATGTGCTATATTATGAAAATGCATATTTGTTTTTGTTTTTACATTCCAATCCATATTCATATTAATGATGTTTAACATTAGACATTTTACACACAATGAATGCTAACATTTCAAATTAATTGCAATATTTTTAACTGTGTTTTTATATTTTTAATTTGACACAAAATTTGGATAATATAGACAAAGTACATTTCATCAGTGTCATCATCAGGCAAAAATAAATTTATTTGATAAACGTGTTAAAATTTATTTTTTAAATGATCAAATTGGACTTGAACAGAGACGTTCTTTAACATCTGTTAAACATTTTAATAAATGCAGAGCGGGAAATATATCATATTTTTGAAAGAGTATCTTGCATCTCAAACATGATAAAAAAAAATCTGTAACTTTTACGGTAAGAAAAAGGCAGCTTTGTTCGCCAGACCTGTTCTTTCACTTCAAAAACTGTAAATTTATCAGTATTTTATGTAAATGTAAATAATAAGAACTGATAAAATGTACCTTCAAATGTGTACCTTGAAATGCAATGTAAGTCGCTTCGGATAAATGCGTCTGCCAAATGCATAAATGTAAATGTACAATGAAATATCCTGTTAAATCTACAGTATTACAGTTTTCACTGCAAACTATCAAACCAACAATCAATTAATAATTCTTACCATAGCATTTTAAGTGTTTGTTTTTAAAATTACGATAATCTTTTACAGTCAGTAACAGTCAATATTGATTAAATGGAGAATATTTTCAAACTAAACTCAGGATAGTGTCTATGAATGAAAGCAGTGCGGTGAAATTACGATAAAGATGAAGTTATTGTGCTTTACTGTATTACCATCAGACAAAGAGAAATTTAGTTAAAGAGCATTTTAAAAATCAATCAATTAAATTAAGTTTTCAGATTATTAATATTGTCTTAACAGGATATTAAAAAAATCATAATTGAAAATGGAAAATCAAAATATAAGAATATTTTAAAAAAAAAACAGTTAATACTTAACATTTTATTTAAATTTGTTTTCTAAATCTTATAAATAAATCCCGATGTATTAATCAATTTCATTGTATATGTTTTAAAATATTAGATTTAGATTCAAATGTTCTGTAACTAACTTAATTTTATTTCATTATTCATTTAAATTTTACAATGCATATTGTTATTGAATCTCTTTTTTCATTTTACATGATTAATTAAATCAATTAATATTATAAATGTAAGTTGTGTATTTAAAGTGAAATAATGGTGATTCTCCATGTGTGTGTGTGTTTCAGCCGGGCCCTCCGTGTCTCCCTCCGTGTCTCTGCTGGTCTCTGGAGACTCCTCCGCTCTGCTCTGCCTGCTCAGCTCTTACTCTCCAAAGGGGGCGACGGTGAGCTGGACGCTGGACGGGTCAGAGGTCACCGAGGGGATTCAGACCAGCGCAGAGAGCGAGCGGGACGGTCTCTACAGTCGCAGCAGCGTCCTGAGCCTCAGCAAAGCACGCTGGGAAGGCGCAGGGCACTTGGTCTGCAGAGGAACACATGCCGGAGCTGCTCACGAGGCCCCGTTCCTCAAGAGCTCCGACTGCTGATGTTTCTCCAGTGAAGACCAGCGGATCTGAGCCGAGTCACGTGATTTACAGCTCAATACTGAAGCAGTCTGTCAATGTGCTGCCATTGCTGTTCATTCAATAAAGCTTCATCTGAACGCCTTACATGTGTGTGTGACTGCATCATTGATCAGTGTGTCGTTGCACTAAAGTTTCAGCCGCTTTTGATTGATTGTAATAGTTGAGAACAGCTGCATTCAGCAGGAAATGAAGTCAAATGAAGCTCTTGGGGTTTGAACATGGTCACTGGAGACGAGCTGCTCTATTCTGAGACGTCACAATCACTAAACCTGACAATGCAAATCACATTTTCAACTGAAACTCACAGTTTCTCTCTTTTACTGGTTCAACGCTCTGAACTGGAACAGTTTCACTTCTGCTGATGGACGGATGAGTTATGAATAATAAATTCATTAGTTTGAGATGAAGAAGCTGCTTAAAAAAGGCTCAAAAACTTCTTTATGTTGCTGTTGATACACCTTGACTTTAACATGTAGTTTAATGTACACATATGGTGCAATTATCGTTTGTTTGGTTTGATAGTAATTTACATTCTCTGATTCTGCGCATTGTTGAGTCAAACCCGTCTGTCAGGACAGATCACAGTTATAGAGATGATTTCAGTCATAAGTCAGTTTTGTGCACACGTGTAGTTCCTGTGTTTGTCCTCTGTGTGTCAGTAGTGTGTGTGTGAAAGTGTTTGAGCAGCTGCAGAAGCGACAGGTGTTGGTCTCTCGAGTCTCGAGTCGCTGTGATGAATCAAACCTCACATAATCATGAAGTTAAGTTTGTTAATATCTGTTTAATACCAAAAGTGCACGTTACTTGGAGATTTAGGGCGACATTTCACGATTTAAATGGCTTCAGAAGACTGAATGGTAGGCCTAATTCATGAGTCGTTTTGAATGTTATGATGATGATGACGATATTTTTTAAACTTTTTTTTCTATCTTGATACTCTATTCAGTTTTGATAGTTTCGTCACTGATCGCGTTGCATGGAAAAGGTGCAGCTTGGACATTCTGCCAATTAAAGAACAAATCTCGTGTTTCTCCACAGAAGAAAATAAACCATAGGCCTACTGGTTTGGAGCAACATGAGGGTGAGTAAATGCTGACAGAAACTGCTCACTCGGTTATGTTGAGATCAGTTTTAGTCAGAATTATCAACTTAGTGGCTGTCAGGTTTACTGATGTTAAATTAAACGAAATAAAACCAAAAATGAAATAAATAAAATGCGTGGTAGGAAGCAGCAACATTGTTTTGTCGGTTCAAACATGAGATGGTTTAATTCGATAACAACAAAAATAGCATCACATAATAACACTGCAATGGAAGTAAAAAGTTTTTTATTAAAATCAAATAAACTTCTAATATGTTCATTAGGCATGATGTCTATGATTTTTGTCAAGCAGGACATGTTCCTGAATCAACATCTTTTATTTGCTTCTGGACCAAAAATCCTGTCAGACAAACAGTCTCAACCTTTAACTAGAAGAAACTATGAAAACCTGCTACATAATGATACACAGCCTACTAAATCGAAATTATGACATAAAAAGTTGAAATTGAAGTTGTAATTATGACAGTCAATGACATACTAAGTCGAAATGATAAAAAAGTCAAAATTATAACGTCACATTTATTTTCTGGCAGAAATGGGCTTTCAGTAAGAAGCCTCACAAATGTTTTTGTCATAACCCTAAAATCAACTGTTTATCGCAAAGATCTAATACAAACGAGGATGTTGATCCAGAAACACGTCCTACTTGGAGAAACCACAGAAAGCTGAATTAATAAGCCACAGATGTGTTTACTCACTATATTAAGACTTTAATTGGTCTCACAAATCACAAAGTTGATTACTGATTAATACTAGAGTAGAAATGTAAGTAATATTTCCCGGTCAATTAAAATCCTCAAGAGTTGTATGCATTCAGATGTATTATAATCAGGAGATCTAATGTGCAAATACATATAAGAAGAACAAATTCATAGTTGCTAAATGACTCATAAATGACCACATGTTTAATCAGTTCATGGGTTGTACTTGCAATTTAGTTTTCTGCATCGCTAATCAGACAGGACACTTTCTTAGTGCATTGGCACACACAGATCAGCATGATATGATTATATTTCATGAAGGATTGAAGCTGTTTTTCAGATTCCTATCCTATTTCTATCCAATTATTTTATCGTATCATCCCCGATCTAATCTTTCCACTTCAGACATTCCTACTCTTTTGTGTCTGACCGCCTCTTTCCTCACACTTTCTTCATCCGCATGAAAACACTCGTATCTACAGGCTGGTGCTGACCACGGTTATCCGCGGCCTGCAGTCCTGGACGAGATGATTTATTACTGAGCTCTTCATGACAGAGCTGTAGACCTTCTGCTCTTTCCCTCTCCTGCACGTGACATCACTTCCTGTTCGACTTGTTCTTGTACTGTACTCCCCATTGACCTCAGTGTGAGACGGTCCAGACTCATTCACGGTGAGGTTTGATGGTCGTGATTCGTCTCCACTGGTTTGATCTCTCTGATTCTCATCAGCATCTCCGATCTGGGCGAGCTAAACTGGATTTCCTCATAAATGCACGGCTCTGGTTTGGATTGGTCTGAGTTGGACGTCGGTTGAGCGTCTGGTGGTTGATCGGGCATTTCTTTAAGGTCAGTGCAGCTTTTTCCATTTGTTTGGCTAATAGATGCCATTTCGAATGTTGTGGGACTTTGGCTCCGCCCACTATCTCCTCTCACTGGTTTATCAGACGTTTGATTGGTTCCCTGGTTTGGTTGTTGATTTTCCACTGAAGAAAGGGATGCTTGAGGCTTTGCTTCTTGAACATAGACCGGGACTAACTCGCACCGTCGGTTATTTGACAGAAAACACTCAGATTTCACATTAGCGGAGACCGACAACTTTTGTCTGTCAGAATTTCTGATCTTTTTCTGAGGTTTGTGTGTTTGATTGTTTCCCTGATGTCCCTTAAACACTGTAAGAGTTGAAATATGATTGATGGAGTGACTTTCTATGACAATGATATCATTGCAAGATGATTGTTGAGCTGTTTTGTTCTTGATTTCACTGTGCACATTTGCGTCATCACATTGTGGCGTTATTGAGCTGGCCGACTCTCTGTTGTGGCTTTTAAATTTGTGTCTATCACTGTTGTAGCCGTTGCTCAAGTGTACAACAGCAGAATCTGGAAAAAAGAAGAGAAACATCACTAGATCATTATTTTACACAAGATATGCATTGAAATGGTTTTATTTCAGATGTGAGTGTGACGATGTTATTTCAGATCCTCCTTTGAGCAGCTGCAGTTTCAGTTCAGTCACTGTGACTCTGACTGACGGAGGTTTTTGTACGACTCTTTATCACTGTGTGAACACATAACCGCTGTTGGTTCTCATGCAATAATAATGTCCAGCATCTTCAGTCTGGACTCCACTGATGCTAAGAGTGAAATCTTTGCTAGATTCACTGCTGCCACTGAATCTAGATGGAGTTCCTGACTCACGGCTGTTTACATTATAAATCAGGAGTTTAGGAGCTTCTCCAGGTTTCTGTAAGTACCAGGACACACAGGGTGGGCTGCAGGCTGTAGCATCACTGCTAGATTTACAGCTCATCTCTACAGTTTCTCCTGGTTTAGCAGTTTTCACTGAAGGAGTCTGAGTCACTGTGATCTGAGATCTACATCCTGAAAAACAAATCATTTATCAGTCCATAAAGTATATATTATTTGCCATATTTTTAAAGCTCTGTTAAAATAACATATTTAAATTGATTTATATAAAAAAATAAACGTTGAACCTTGTAATATAAAGCTGTATAAAAGTGTCCAGATGATGATGAAGGTCATGTTGATGAAGATTGTTGTGTGTGTCAGTGATGAAGTGTTAAACTCACAGCACTATAAACACTCTCACACACTGAAGATCTGATCAATATGCAAACACACTCCACATCATTTCCCTGAAGACAGTCCCTCATTAACACACACAAAACACAAGTTTAATAATATTGCATCATCTACGAAAGTCAAAATGTTAAAGATTATATCATTCAATTCAGTTCAAGACCAGCTTCACTATATTACTGTAATCTGAATATCTGAATATGAGTAGATCTGGATCCAGACTCAAATCACTGAAGGTTTCTATAGTAAAGTGACAGCTCACAGCCTCATTTTCATTCATGTCTAAAAATAAAAATGTTGCTACCCTGAAGAAGTTCGTACTTACGAGGTGGGAAGTCGTGTTTACGACGGCAGGAGTTCAAGTCATTTTCATCGGAGTAAGATGGCGGTGTACAAGGTTCAACTCAAGTTCTAGAAAATGAAGAACAAGGAAATGTGCATCAGGTGTGTTTGGTTTTTGAAGTTTTTAATTACTGTATTAAGCCACTGCAAACTTTATCGTTACATATTACATTATAATTGCCATCATATTGTGTGCAGGTTTAGCTTACTTTGCTGTTAATAGAAAAGCCTGACAATGTCACTGCTAAATAGACCCCTTTTGCGCCGACGTCACAGTTACGTCACGGCGCTAGCTGGAGGCAAAACAAGTGAAAACTGCAGGCGGCCAATGCAAAACAGCAAAGATTCGGCTACATAATAAGGAGCTTAAATAATTGTTACTATTATTAAATGTCATCTTGTTGTGTTGTTTGGTGTAAGAATTTATGAAAAATTAATATGCTGTATCTGGAACTTTTATTTCTAGAAAATATTCACATCATTAAAATCGCACTGTAATGTCACTCTTTACATTGTCGTGGTCTCGGCGCTGGCTCGGCAGAACTGCGGATCATACACACAAGTCTTGTACAGGACCATAAAGGCATCTAAAGATTTATATGCCTCAGTTTCTCTTTACGATCGTTTTCTCTATAAGGTAGGTGTAGAAGTCAGGCCACTCAACCGAGGTAACGTACGTTAATCCTGTCAGATCGTCCATGAGTGAGCGTGTAGGCGGCTACAGGTCGGCCAATCTGGTTCCGTCCGTTAAAAATAACTTTTGGAAATAACAATCGCGGTCCTGGACACTGAGTAACCTTACACATTAAGATAATATCGGATTTTCTCCAGTCATTGTTAAAAAACAAGCTAACAATCCTTGCTAACTAGCGTTAGTGAAGCGGCCAGATAGAACTTTTTGCCTCCACCTAAGCTCCGCCCACAAAAAACGTCACCTTGTTTACCAACTGTAAAAGGGTCTATACCTTTCAGTGTTGTGTTATTCCACCATGTTTCTCACTGACTCGCCCACAACGCGGAAAGATCAAGAAAATCCAGAGTTTCTCAAGATATTGTGGCGTTCATGTTCTTTTATACTCGTAAATACGATCAAAATGACTTTAACACAAAAGGTCATAGAGCCTCTTTTCAGCTTTCTGTTTTGTGTTTCCAAACATGAAGGAAGATCTACGGATTTATGAACGACCCGCTCGTTTTAAAATCTCTGTTGTTTTGATATCTGCTTCAAACATTACAATCCTCATGATAACTTTAAAAGTGACTGTCACTTCACCAACTGATTTTACATCAAGAAGAACAAATAAATATTCAGAATTACATATTTGGATAATATTTCGAACACAAAAAGTATTGGAAATGCATTGATCAAACGATGTAGAGGACTGACTGAATACTGTGGAGTAAATCAGAAATAGGCTGTGCAAACAGTAATGCGACGCTTTTTCCACACAATCTCATTTGTAATCTGGTAAGTCCCGCCCCTTCCGCTAACCCCGCTGGACGTCTAGGTTGATAAAGCGTCAATACATAGTTCCCACATGACGTCACAACATACGGGCATTTGCCGACCCGGCGCCATTGCTTAGGGCAAAACATAAGAAGAAGCAATACGAGTTGAACGAAGTGAAATGAGTTTCGTGCTATAAAGTGAAAATGGTCATCTCCTGCTGAGTCAATGGATGATAAAATCGTGCCGGAGGTTCAGTTAAATCGGGATTTTACACTATACCCGTCATTAGACTCCATATGGATGTGAGAAGACTAAGCTTTTGTCCGAACAACGACGGAGATTATGGCTGGCGAGCATAAACAGGAAAGAAACTCACTCAAAACACGCAAGAATTTGTTTGACAAAAGCACAATGTTGTGTTTTATTGCGAGTGTAAATAAATATAAGTTAACACATTGCAGTTTGAATAATGTCCTGTATGAACAAAATGACGAGGTATTAAAAACATACAAAACAACATTGTTTCCACTGTTTGATCTCACATTCCAGCATTGCAATTTCAGATTATGTCCCTAAAGATCCCGCGTATAATGTAGTTCCTCATTACATTAATTAAATTGCACGCGAGTTATTTATTTTAATATTCATGCACCGAACTATGACGCCCGCAAGTACATGCATATTACAGAAATCACCGGTGACTGGGGAACATAGGAATTAAGTTGTGCAGGCTATGGCTTTTTAATAGACAGATTAGCATCATGCTACTTCGCTATGATGACTTAAGTTACTTTTCCATTGATTGCACTTGAGCAAACGTCACCAAACTAACCCCACGTCAATCTGATCGTACACCTCCAGTGATTTCCAGGCTTGGAATTGCTCACATGTGTAAAAACTCCTCACCAATACCAGATAATTGTACACATGAAAATACTGTATCTGAGGCAAAGTTGCATAATCGGTGCTCAGTGCTTCTTTTGTTGCATAAGGATACACACCATCTATGAATGAAATTTTCGCATTGTACCTCTCTATGTCTTGTTTTAATAGTCTCTTTATAATCTATTACACTTTGTCTTTTCATGATTTGCATAACAATATAAACAGACATAAATATTTGTTTGTAAAACGACATTCTCTGATAAAACGTTGTAAACGCCTATGGTAAACACAGCGGTTTTGCCCTCAAAGATGGCGTCTCCGGGGAGGTCACGTGACAATTTTTTTGCCTGTGGGAACTATGTATACAAGTGAATGAGAGAAAATAATTATTTTCTGATCCCGTTTGAATTTTGCAATGAATGTGAACATATGTTGTCTGTGAATTTTTTTATATAATTTTTCGTGTAAGGAATGCTACTATTTAGCGCGTAGAATTTTCATTCGGTTAGACTTTGTGTGAGAGCACTTTGTGGACTACAACTCTTCCTGCTTTCGTCGCGTTTGATATATGTCACCACCACTAGCACACGGATCCCGCTAAACAAACCATTGTTTGAATGGTGACATTTGGGTACAAAACACACAGGCATCTCGATCTGTTTCCTTAGATTATCTTACCGTGATTTGTGGAGGGAAAATGTGTTATGCAGTGACGTCACATATTCGACATGTAGTCTTTCTCGTTATGTCTATTCCACAACTGCTAGCCAAAGAATCATACAATATACTGTCAAACTCGTTACATGAGAAATTATATAAAAAATTCACAGATAACATATGTTCATATTCATTGCACAATTCAAACGGGATCAGAAAATAATTATTTTCTTTCATTCACTTGCATTGACGCTTTTTCAAGCTAGAGGTCCACCTGGAGTTTCATGGATGGGCGGGACTTACCAGCTCTATTAAAATAAGCCATTAAAGACGTCATGGATTTAATTATTTCCAGATCATTTGATTAGATTGTTCACTTGAGCTTTCTCAATCTCCGTCTGTGGTAGGCTATACTGTGAAAGTAATGAGAAGATGGGGAAAAATCTTTAATCATACGCCACGCCAAATACAAAAATCATGGTTTCAGATGTTTGCTCTGCTGAATGATGAAAGTTTATAAGAGAGAAAACTTTTGTAAAAGAATCTTTAGATATGTGTACTTCAAAACATGTGTGTGTGTGTGTGTTTGAGCAGCTGCAGTTTCAGTTCAGTCACTGTGACTCTGACTGACGGAGGTTTTTGTACGACTCTTTATCACTGTGTGAACACCCAGTTGTTGATGTAGTGTGCACTCTGACAGTAATAATGTCCAGCATCTTCAGTCTGGACTCCACTGATGCTCAGAGTGAAATCACTGTTAGATCCACTGCCACTGAATCTAGATGGAGTTCCTGACTGGAGGCGGTTTGTGAGATAAATCAGGAGTTTAGGAGCTTCTCCAGGTTTCTGTAAGTACCAGGATAAAGGCTGAACACCCCAACCCTGATAGACGTCAGGACTGGTTTTACAGGATATAGTAAATGTGTCTCCTAGAGGAACAGATTTCACTGCCGGCGTCTGAGTGACTGTCACTGCACCAACAGATTCTACATCAAGAAAATAAATGAACATTCAGAATTACATATTTGGATAATATTTCAAGCACTGTTTGTTAATCAGTTCAAATAGAGCAGTTTAACTTGATATTTCCTGACCTGTGAAACAGCTGGAGAACATCCAGATGAAGATGATGAAGATGAAGCTCATGGTTGCTGTTGGTTTAATTAGATTCTCAGTGTTCAGACTCAGAGTTATAAACCTCCTGAAGCATGAGCTGCGATGCAAATAATCTATATGTAAATCTGTGTACGGATTCCAGCACATGACACTCATAAATCATAACAGTGTTTGGGATATTTTTCCATGTTACGAGTCATAAACATTTATTCCTGTGTCTGAAGCTTCAGGCTTTCTGATGATTCAAATGACAGAGTTGCTGCACTAGTATGTCACTGTGAACTTCATTAGAGGGCAAGGGTCATTCCAGAGGTCAAAGGTTAAATTGCTTTAATCATTAACAATGCACTGAGATGAATGATAGAGACAGTAGTTTTGATAGAACAGTTTTGATGAGTAATATATTTATTATTATCTTGATAAACTTCTAGTGGAAGATAAAGCTTGTAAAAGCTCAAAAACACACAGTGGCAGATTTGTGTGTTTGATTTGATATTAATATACAGACTGTTTTTATCTCTGTCTGTCACAAGACAGATCTCAGTCTAATAGAGCGGATTTCAGTCATTAGTTAGTTTTGAGCACGTGTGTGTGTGCGTGTGTGTGTGTTTGAGCAGCTGCAGTTTCAGTTCAGTCACTGTGACTCTGACTGACGGAGGTTTTTGTACGACTCTTTATCACTGTGTGAACACTGGACCACTGTGTAAACTCTGACAGTAATAATGTCCAGCATCTTCAGTCTGGACTCCACTGATGCTCAGAGTGAAATCACTCCCTGATGATCTACTGCCACTGAATCTAGATGGAGTTCCTGACTGAAGGTTTTTTACGAGATAAATCAGGAGTTTAGGAGCTTCTCCAGGTTTCTGTAAGTACCAGGATAAACCTTGATCCCCATTATTCCATCTGTACACATCTGTGCTGGTTTTACATTTGATATTGACAGTTCCTCCTGGTTGTTCTGCTGTTATTGAGGGACTCTGAGTGACGGTGATCTGTCCTCTACACTCTGAAACACACAAGAAAATACACTCAAAACTTTGACAATATACTTGAAGAAATGAATGAATATCAAACTTGTGCTCCACAAACCTTGAGCAAACGCTGTGAGAGTCCAGATGAAGACGATGATGAAGGTCATGTTGATGAAGATTGTTGTGTGTGTCAGTGATGAAGTGTTAAACTCACAGCACTATAAACACTCTCACACACTGAAGATCTGATCAATATGCAAACACACTCCACATCATTTCCCTGAAGACAGTCACACATTAACACACACAAACACAATCACTGACGTGAGAACAGAGTCAAAATCAGCCTTTTTCAATCTTCTAAAAGCCAAACCGTTAAAAATTATATAATTCAATTCAGTTCTGAATACATCTAGAAGACCAACTTTAGTATATTAATCTGAATATGTGCTGAGAATATTTTTACTGTAGTTGGATTGAAACGTTGCTGTTAATCCCCAAATTTGACACCAAATCCATGTGTGTTCCTGCAGTTTATGAACACACACGAGGATCATCATCACACACTTTGCTGAATGGATGTGCACTTTTTCCCAGAGTCCTTCATCCAAACTCCTGTTCCTCGACGAGGTGTGACTCCCCGTGTCTATAACTCTAGTCAACGCTAACTCCTATTGTAAGTTGATTCTCCACATCGGGATGTTTTGTCTCGGTCTGAGTATTTCAGGAAAACGCCTCAAGAGACTCGGGGGAATTCAGTAGATCGGCTCGTGATGATGAACGTCCTCGAGACACTCATCATGGATCTTTCTAATGTCAGGTAATCTTTTACTCTTTATCTCTGAGAATTTGATGTTTTGTACTGATAATATTTGAATTGATTATGATGCATTCACATGAATAATTAATTGTTAAATTTAGATTTATTTTGACTCACTCTGAGATCATATTGAAGTCTATAGATTACATGAAGTCCATAACAGCACAATGACTGTATCGCTCAGGTTAGTGACGGACGGGCATCATATATGTGGAGCAGAGGAGCACGCCGGCTGAAGATTCAGAAATATTAGTCATGGACACTTATAATACTTATAATAATGGGTTTTCCGTTTAAAACAACCTGTAATTATTTATAGGATTATTCTAATGAAGTTTACGTGGGAAACTACGGCATAATTAGACAAAGTCACCATTAGAAGTAGTTCATTTGGTCAGCTTAGTTCTGTGGTAATGGTCGTGGCCTCTGGTTAGATATAACTAATCTTATGTTAATTAAGTGTGTTCAGATCTATGAAGACTAAATAACTGAATAAACTGATCAAGCACGACATATTTAAGATGCTGGTGATTCAGTTTAGAAAGAATAAAATATGAAATCATAAATACAGAAAATAAAATAAAAATAATGTGGTGAAAGTTTGAAGAATATCCACTGAAGTGAAAATCAAAAGTGACTGAATTTCTAAATGAAGGATGTAATTGGAAACAGGAGACAAATGTGATTTCTTAAAAATTACAATCAAATAGTCAAAAACTGATGAAGATCAAGAAAATTATGTTCAATAAGTTCATATAGAGTCGTTTCTTCAGTGTGTGTGTGTGTGTGTGCGTGCGTGTGTGTGTGTGTGTGTGTGTGTGTGTGTGTGTGTGAGCAGCTGCAGTTTCAGTTCAGTCACTGTGACTCTGACTGACGGAGGTTTTTGTGTGACTCTTTATCACTGTGTGAACACATCTTTACTGTTGATGACATGATAACTCTGACAGTAATAATGTCCAGCATCTTCAGTCTGGACTCCAATGATGCTCAGAGTGAAATCACTGTTAGATCCACTGCCACTGAATCTAGATGGAGTTCCTGACTGGAGGCGGTTTGTGAGATAAATCAGGAGTTTAGGAGCTTCTCCAGGTTTCTGTAAGTACCAGGACACACAGGGTGGGCTGCAGGCTGTAGCATCACGACTGAGTTTACAGCTCATCTCCACAGTTTCTCCTGGTTTAGCAGTTTTCACTGAAGGAGTCTGAGTCACTGTGATCTGAGATCTACATCCTGAAAAACAATTCATTTATCAGTCCATGAAGTTTGTATTAGTTTAAAGCTGTGTTAAAATCATACTATTTAAGTGATTTATTTAATATAAACTGTTCACCTTGTAGTATAAAGCAGTATAAAAGTGTCCAGATGATGATGAAGGTCATGTTGATGAAGATTGTTGTGTGTGTCAGTGATGAAGTGTTAAACTCACAGCACTATAAACACTCTCACACACTGAAGATCTGATCAATATGCAAACACACTCCACATCATTTCCCTGAAGACAGCAGAAACACTGTTTTGTCTTTTAGTGTCTTTGCTAATAAACTTCTGTTTATCATTTTCATAAACACACACTCATGATTTACTTCATGTTATTTTGGGTCGATCTTCTCGCTCTAAACACAGTTTTGATGATCAGTTTCATTCAGACTTTGATGCTGAGAGCATTTAATACCTGTGCTGTGTTTATATCATCCATGATACTGTAGAACAGGTCAAAGGTCATCCAATAGAGAATGACCATCTAAATCTGGCGGAACATTTCATTATAAAGCAGGACAATAGAATTGATATAAATGTCACAAATGTATTTTTTGAGTGATTATGAAACATGACAATGATTTCAGGCTTCATGTAATACACATTTATTTTTACAGATGAACATTTTGTGGCTCTTTTTCAATCAATCCTGGTTAATGTGGAGAAGATCTGCTGTTGAGACTCATAACAGTGCTGTATGTGTGTGTGTGTGCGTGTGTGTGTGTGTGTGTGTGTGTGTGTGTGTGTGTGTGTGTGTGTGTGTGTGTGTGTGTGTGTGTGTGTGTGTGTGTGTGTGTGTGTGTGTGTGTGTGTGTGTGTTGTTGGTCTCTTTCTCTGCTGGAGTGTGTGTTCATGTGAGTGTGACGGAGGTTTTTGTACGACGCTTTCACTAGAATGAAACACTGTGGTACACTTTCGGTGGAGGAACTGAACTGACGATCAGAACCTGTGAGTCTTTCTTAAATTATAACATGAAACTTAATGATGTGTGTGTTTTTAAAAGGATGTTTAATGTTATTTAACAGCATTTAGTAACAATATTCTTAATTTATTAAAAAACCCCACATGATTGATTTTAACATAGCTATTATTATTACATATTAAAACATATAATAGATTTCAAATCTTATTTATTCTATTTTACTGATTGATTGATTGATTTCATGTATTTAATTATTATATTGTCTGCTATTTTATAAATATGTGATATTATTTCATGTTTTTTAAATTCCAGTCCAAACTAACTTTTACAGTTAGAAAAACGCAGTTTTGTTTATTATTTTAACTTCAAAAAACAAGTAATTAAATTTAACAAATGAAATATACAGTTAAATCTATTACAGTTTTCACTGTTTACAGTAAAGGATCAAGTCATTCGCCAATCAACAGGTTTTTACCGTAGTCCTTTGCTGTTAAAATTATGCCATAATTTTTTTACAGTGCACATTTAGTAATATTCAATATTGATTTAATGAAGCATATTTTGAATCTAAACTCAGGATAATGTCTATGAATGAAAGCAGTGCGGTGAAACTAAAATTGCGATTGATTGTGAGTATCAAATTAAAATTATATTTTCAAAAGATACAATTAATACTGAAAATATTACTTAAATTTGTTTTCTTACTCTTATGAAGAAATCACAATGTATTAATCAATTTTACTGTGGACAATGTTTTTAAAAATTAGATTTAGATTCTGTAATTAAATTATTTAAAAATCAGATGAGTATATTTTTCATTTATTTCAATTTTATCATTCATATAAATGTTTTTAAATGTAATTTTTCATTTTACACAAATAATTTAACATTTAGATCGAGAATAGAACATTTAGTTCATGTCATGTTTTGACTGCAGATCCTTTAAAATCTATTCAATTATTTCTTCATATATAGTTTTGTCTATAACTCTTGGTAGATGTAACTATTAAGTGCTTTTTTAAATGCATGAAACAAAGGTTTTATAATACAATCAAAATATATATTTTTGGGTTCATCAGACAAAAGGAAACTTAGTGCAAGAGCATTTTGAAAATTAATAATTTAAACTATTAAAATCCTGATGTTTATGTTTATGGGTGTCTGAATAGCAGAATATTAATAACAATTAATATTGAAAATAGGCATATTATTTAGTATAACGACATCATCAATTTACTTGGCCAATGCTTTTCAAACTCATTCTGGGGATCATTTAAAAATGTAAGTTGTATATTTAAAGTGAAATGATGGTGATTCTCCATGTGTGTGTGTGTGTGTGTGTGTGTGTGTGTGTTTCAGCCGGGCCCTCCGTGTCTCCCTCCGTGTCTCTGCTGGTCTCTGGAGACTCCTCCGCTCTGCTCTGCCTGCTCAGCTCTTACTCTCCACAGGGGGCGACGGTGAGCTGGACGCTGGACGGGTCAGAGGTCACCGAGGGGATTCAGACCAGCGCAGAGAGCGAGCGGGACGGTCTCTACAGTCGCAGCAGTGTCCTGAGCCTCAGCAAAGCACGCTGGGAAGGCGCAGGGCGCTTGGTCTGCAGAGGAACACATGCCGGAGCTGCTCACGAGGCCTCGTTCCTCAAGAGCTCCGACTGCTGATGTTTCTCCAGTGAAGACCAGCGGATCTGAGCCAAGTCACGTGATTTACAGCTCAATACTGAAGCAGTCTGTCAATGTGCTGCCATTGCTGTTCATTCAATAAAGCTTCATCTGAACGCCTTACATGTGTGTGTGACTGCATCATTGATCAGTGTGTCGTCGCACTAAAGTTTCAGCCGCTTTTGATTGATTGTAATAGTTGAGAACAGCTGCATTCAGCAGGAAATGAAGTCAAATGAAGCTCTTGGGGTTTGAACATGGTCACTGGAGACGAGCTGCTCTATTCTGAGACGTCACAATCACTAAACCTGACAATGCAAATCACATTTTCAACTGAAACTCACAGTTTCTCTCTTTTACTGGTTCAACCTCTGAACTGGAACAGTTTCACTTCTGCTGATGGACGGATGAGTTATGAATAATAAATTAATTAGTTTGAGATGAAGAAGCTGCTTAAAAAAAGGCTCAAAAACTTCTTTATGTTGCTGTTGATACACCTTGACTTTAACGTGTAGTTTAATGTACACATATGGTGCAATTATCGTTTGTTTGATTTGATAGTAATTTACATTCACTGATTCTGCGCATTGTTGAGTCAAACCCGTCTGTCACAGGACAGATCACAGTCTAATAGAGATGATTTCAGTCATAAGTCAGTTTTGTGCACACGTGTAGTTCCTGTGTTTGTCCTCTGTGTGTCAGTAGTGTGTTTGAAAGTGTTTGAGCAGCTGCAGAATCGACAGGTGTTGGTCTCTCGAGTCTCGAGTCACTGAGATGAAGCAAACCTCACATAATCATAAAGTTAAGTTTGTTAATATCTGTTTAATACCAAAAGTGCACATTACTTGGAGATTTAGGGCGACATTTCACGATTTAAATGGCTTCAGAAGACTGAATGGTAGGCCTAATTCATGAGTCGTGTTGAATGTTATGATGATGATGATATTTTTTCAACTTTTTTTTCTATCTTGATACTCTATTTAGTTTTGATAGTTTCGTCACTGATCACGTTGCATGGAAAAGGTGCAGTTCGGACATTCTGCCAATTAAAGAACAAATCTCGTGTTTCTCCACGGAAGAAAATAAACCATAGGCCTACTGGTTTGGAGCAACATGAGGGTGAGTAAATGCTGACAGAAACTGCTCACTCGGTTATGTTGAGATCAGTTTTAGTCAGAATTATCAACTTAGTGGCTGTCAGGTTTACTGTTGTTAAATTAAATTAAATAAAACCAAAAATGAAATAAATAAAATGCGTGGTAGGAAGCAGCAACATTGTTTTGTCGGTTCAAACATGAGATGGTTTAATTCGATAAAAACAAAAATAGCCTCATATAACACTGCAATGGAAGTACAAAGTTTTTCATTAAAATCAAATAAACTTCTAATATGTTCATTAGGCATGATGTCTATGATTTTTGTCAAGCAGGACATGTTCCTGAATCAACATCTTTTATTTGCTTCTGGACCAAAAATCCTGTCAGACAAACAGTCTCAACCTTTAACTAGAAGAAACTATGGAAACCTGCCACATAATGATATACACAGCCTACTAAATCGAAATTATGACATAAAAAGTCGAAATTGAAGTTGTAATTATGACTTTCAATGACATACTAAGTCGAAATTAAAACACAAAAAGTCAAAATTATGACATCACATTTATTTTGTGGCAGAAATGGGCTTTCAATAAGAAGCCACACAAATGTTTTTGTCATAACCCTAACCCTAAAATCAACTGTTTATCGCAAAGATCTAATACAAACGAGGATGTTGATCCAGAAACACGTCCTACTTGAAGAAACCACAGAAAGCTGAATTAATAAGCCACAGATGTGTTTACTCACTATATTAATTAAGACTTTAATTGGTCTCACAAATCACAAAGTTGATAACTGATTAATACTAGAGTAGAAATGTAAGTAATATTTCCCGGTCAGTTAAAATCCTCAGGAGTTGTATGCATTCAGATGTATTATAATCAGGAGATCTAATGTGCATGTACATATAAAAAGAACAAATTCATAGTTGCTAAATGACTCATAAATGACCACATGTTTAATCAGTTCATGTGTTGTACTTGCAATTAAGTTTTCTGCATCGCTAATCAGACAGGACACTTTCTTAGTGCATTGGCACACACAGATCAGCATGATATGATTATATTTCATGAAGGATTGAAGCTGTTTTTCAGATTCCTATCCTATTTCCTATCCAATTATTTTATCGTATCATCCCCGTATCATCTAATCTTTCCACTTCAGACATTCCTACTCTTTTGTGTCTGACCGCCTCTTTCCTCACACTTTCTTCATCCGCATGAAAACACTCGTATCTACAGGCTGGTGCTGACTACGGTTATCCGCGGCCTGCAGTCCTGGATGAGATGATTTATTACTGAGCTCTTCATGACAGAGCTGTAAACCTTCTGCTCTTTCCCTCTCCTGCACGTGACATCACTTCCTGTTCGACTTGTTCTTGTACTGTACTCCCCATTGACCTCAGTGTGAGACAGTCCAGACTCATTCACGGTGAGGTTTGATGGTCGTGATTCGTCTCCACTGGTTTGATCCCTCTGATTCTCATCAGCATCTCCCGATCTGGGCGAGCTAAACTGGATTTCCTCATAAATGCACGGCTCTGGTTTGGATTGGTCAGAGTTGGATGTCAATTGATTGTCAGATGTTGTGATTGGTTGAGCGTCTGGTGGTTGATCGGGCATTTCTTTAAGGTCAGTGCAGCTTTTTCCATTTGTTTGGCTAATAGATGCCATTTCGAATGTTGTGGGACTTTGGCTCCGCCCACTATCTCCTCCCACTGGTTTATCAGGCGTTTGATTGGTTCCTTGATTTTGTTGTTGATTTTCCACTGAAGAAAGGGATGCTTGAGGCTTTGCTTCGTGAACATAGACCGGGACTAACTCACACCGTCGGTTATTTGACAGAAAACCCTCAGATTTCACATTAGCGGAGACCGACAACTTTTGTCTGTCAGAATTTCTGTTCTTTTTCTGAGGTTTGTGTGTTTGATTGTTTCCCTGATGTCCCTTAAACACTGTAAGAGTTGAAATATGATTGATGGAGTGACTTTCTATGACAATGATATCATTGCAAGATGATTGTTGAGCTGTTTTGTTCTTGATTTCACTGTGCACATTTGTGTCATCACATTGTGGCGTTATTGGGTTGGCCGACTCTCTGTTGTGGCTTTTAAATTTGTGTCTATCACTGTTGTAGCAGTTGCTCAAGTGTACAACAGCACAATCTGGAAAAAAGATGAAAATGAGATGATTGTATAATTTAGAAATTGTGATTGTGCTACTGCATGAGGCTAATATGCATGTGTATTAGAGTTTTGTGGTTTAATAACACTAATATTTCTTAAATTCTATCAAAATATTTTACAGTATGAGCATGCATGTGCATGGTTGTATGTAGAGTAAATGCAAAACAAATGCTTCATGTAACCTGGTGTGTGTTTCTGGACATCTGTCTCCTTTTCACTGGCTGTAATAAGTTTCAAGGGATGAATGTCGTCTATGAAGCGCTCTCTGGCTGCACTGAAAGTAAAAGAAAAAGAGACAGAGCGATGGAGAGGAATATTTTTCAGAAGAATATAGTGTCAGACTTAATGTTTAAGAGTAGAAAGAAAAGCTGTTCGGCTAATTTAAAACAAAACTCAGACTGAATTAAACATGGTGTAAAGCTAGAGATGTAAGGAAGACCTGTGCAACCTAATGCGTGCTCAGAGAAAATAAACATTAAGTGCAATTCTGAAACCATGCATAGTGGAAGCAAAGCATGTATTTGGATCCATGCAAATATATCTTTAAATGCAGTCAATATTCTGGCAGAATTGTTCATGGGTGTAGATGGTGTAAATATCCATACCTCGTACTTCTGTCTCTTTTATCCGTTCGTCTGAGTTTAGTGTGGCGTTTCTGAGAGCTCATGGCAGCGTCGCAGTCAGACTCAGAGTTTGTAAGGCACAAGGCTTCAGGCTCGAGCTGTAACATGCATTCATGCACACATGCATATAATCATCCGTATGTATTATGATTGTACTCAGGCATTAGTTTCCCAGCAGGCTGTGGGTTATTTCTACCACCTGACCCTGACGATGTCAATGGCTCTTTCATCATGGCGATCAATCCAGCAACAGTTTAATGACATATTTTAAAATGTAATTTATTCCTGCGATTAAGACTGAATTTTTTGCATCATTACTCCAGTCTTCAGTGTCACATGATCCTTCAGAAATCACTCTAATATGAGGATTTGCTGCTCAAGAAACTTTATTATTAGGGCTGTGGAAAGATTAATTGCGATTAAACGCATCCAAAATAAAAGTTTGTGTTTACATGATATATTTGTGTGTGCTGTGTATAGTTATTTTGTACATATAAATACACACACATGCATGTATATATAAGAAAAATGTGTTATTCATATATAAAATATTTATATTTATATATAATATAGATTATGATCAGTATTTACACGCAAATAATTCTTAATTATATATGCATGCATTTGTATTTAAATTATACACAGCACACACATATTATGTAAACACAAACTTTTATTTTGGATGCGATTAATTGCAATTAATCTTTGCACAGCCCTAATTATTATCAATGTTTAAAACAGTTGTGCTGCTTATTTTTGGAAATCATAATACGTTATTTAGGGTTATTTGATGAATATAAAGTTCAAAAGAACAGCATTTATTTGAAATTGAAACATTTTGTAACATTATAAAAGTCTTTACTGTGACTTTTGATCAGTTTAATGTGTCTAAGCTAAATAAAAGTATTCAATTCTAAACTTTTGAACAGTAGTGTATAATATTACTTATAAAGAAAAACATTATCATGATTAAAAATTACTATCATAAATACATTGAAAATAAGATTATAGAATGTCTGAACTATTAATTAAATATTTTCCCTAAAATCCTAAATGAGGTATCTCAACCATAGACTGTGATCTCATTCTCAACGCAACAGGAAAAATTTGTTGGAAAAGTGAACGGTAATGAAATGTGAAATGAATTAGATAATGTCACCTCCTGTTGATGGTGTGTCCAGACCTTTCTATCAGCCAGTGCCTTCTCTCTGGGAC